ATAAACTCAATTACAGGTTCTTAAAAATTTATTTTAACTTAATTAATTTAGTTAATAAGTTATAAATTTATTTAGATTGTTCTTATATATCTACTTTTTATAGTTTATAGAATAATCTAATTGGCTAAAAAATAAACTATGATAATTAAAAAACCTGAACTTGATAATCTGTATTTTATACAATGAACTTTTGATAAGATTATTATAAGAATACTTTAATTAATTAAAAATAATTAATTAACACATTGATTACTAGTACATAATATTTAGAAAAACAGCCTTAATTTCTATAATCTAAGTTCTTAAAGGTTTAACTTTTATATAAGCATATAGTAAAAATCAGTAAGCAAAAATTAAAATTTTTATTATTGCAAACTTAACCTCAATAATATATATTGAAACATGTATACAATTAGTACTCTGTAATAAAACAAATTAATATTAGATATAATACTAGTATATGTATATATATATACATATGTATGTATATATATAGAAAAGTAATATATATAAATGCTATAATAATAATTAGTGATAAATTTAGTTACAATTTGATTAGCTAATTATTTGAAGTGGTATAAATAAAATACTACCCCAGGTAGCACTAATATAAATCTATATAAAATATATATTAAAAGGTTTATTTTATATATATAAATATAAATAAAATTGTGAATAGTGATTCTAGTATAGTGGTTGAGTTGTCATTCTTCAAGTGACAAATTTAAGGTTTAAATCTTATCTATGATAAAATTTGAAAATTATATTTGCATTATGATAACTGTCTTCTGTTAATCAGTTGGCCTTATGTGGCTGTTACTTAGGTATGCCAAGTCAGGTTCTACTGATATTGGAAGCTTGAACATTTATATAAAATATAACGTTACATATATATAAAAAAATGTATAACTAGTATTGCATAAGACTTTGGTGCAAACCTATAACAAGACCATCAGGCATAGAAGACTAAGAAACCAAAGTGATGAAAACCTACTTAGAAATTCTTAAGTAAAAAAGTAGCATGAACTTTTAATGATATTATTAAACCAGTTAAAGCTTATAAAACACCTTTATAGAAACTGAAAATTAAAACTGAATGTCAAATATATATAAAAGAGCACATAACCAATCAGGCTACTGAATTCACTAAAAAAAAAAAATACAGAATATATCATACTAGGCTATCTAAATTGGTAGTTTGGAATAAGACTGACAATTCTAAGTTGTGGCTAGTAAGAGATAATGAAGAAGATGCCAGAAAGATAGGTACTGAGGTTCTAGTAAACTTTACAAGAGTAAAAATAATGTAACATAATAGTTAAACAGGTAACCTTTGTGACTGCAAGTGTTAGGTAACTATAATATATTGCATAAAACTAGGTTTATATATATGTGACATAAAAGGCTCTAGTAAGTTTTCTGTCAAGAATAAACTAGTCCTAAGAGTAACAACAAGTATTAGAAACTTGAATGGATGTAGCCTTGAGATGTTCTTATAATACAAGAAAGATTGCATATACAGAGAGTTTAAATAGACAAGACCCCTAATCAGCTTGCAAGTATGGCAACTAGTGTAAAACTTATATAGCAATATGTAAGTGGACTGCTTAAATTAGGCACCAAAAGTACATATATGATTAGTTGTAATTTTTAATGTAAGGTGAGCTCCTGATGGCATGCCATGTCCTAATATACTTGAATAAAAATGTTGCATCTCTAAGATAGAGACTTTAACTATAAAAAAAAAATATATATATATATATATAATTTTAAATTTTAAAAAAATTTTTTTTTTTTTTAAAGAGGTTTTTTCTTTAGTTCTTTATTTTAGTAATATATAATTAAATACAACTAGTACAAATTAATATATTAAACTAAAAGAGTAGAAGTTAAGGCTAATTTATCTTCTACTTATTTTTAGCTAAAATGGTTAAGAGATCTTTAGTTTATAGATTTGGTAAAAGAAGATATTTGGTTCAAATGTATAAATTTATTGAGCTATAAAGTATATTGTCTATCTATTGATGTTTTTTTTTTTAAAAATATTAAGGTAAGTACTTGTGATCCAGGATTTTATTAATAGTATATTTGGCTAATAATTGCTTTACAACTACAGAAGGCAACCATAAAGAGAGTGTACAACTAGCCATTCATACAACTTTAGTTATTGTCTAATTTAAGTAGTCTGCCTGAAGGTTTTACACTAGCTGCCATATCTGGAATCCACTTGTAGATTTCCTATTTAACCACTCTGTTTCTGTATTCACCTACCTACTTCTGCCTATCAATGACCTTGGCCGATGTTAGTAAAAATATGCCATGTCCACTAAGTCTTTAAAGCAGTTCTTTGAAACCTTTAATCTTGTACTAAACCTTCTAGAATCTTCTGTATCCCATTCTTATAGCTAACCTGATATCGCTATAACCAAGACCAACACTGGTAGTCAGGATGTACTATTAAACTACTATACCCTTGTAGAGTTCACCTCAATCTCAGTACTAACTTCACAACATATCCTTACTACTTTGATATTTAATTCAAGTTCTACCAAGCTGCCATTCCAAATAGCCTGGAAAGATAGATCAAAATCATACACCTCTGGTTTACATGTTTGCTAACATGTACCCTTTTTCTCTGGAATCTGGAAATTCTAATAGCCTGGTTGGTTCATCCAATCCCTTCCTAAGAACTGGTACATTTGCCTGATTTTACAAGTTCTAGTTCCATTTTATAAGTCTAGTCTTTATAGTAACATCATTGAAAACTCAGATTACCTCTCTACTCAGGTCTTTCAAGTGGGCTTTCATCTTTCTTCTATTAGTTCTTATAATTTATATGACCATAAGAACTTATTGTAAATTTGTACCACCCGGTACTGGTTTGCATTTTTTTGTGTAATCTCAGACCTTGTCCCAAAGGACAATGTTATGTGACTGTTACACAAAAGCCATGTGACCTGCCAGTCATGCTAGTGTGACATAGATTACAGATGTTTTATCCCAACTAATTACAAGAAACAGTTAACCATAACACAAAAAGGATTTTTAAATTTTCTGTTAACACTGGAATTTGAACTCTGGACCTGCCACTTGGGGTTGACAACCTGACCACTTCACTAGGTCACCACACCCCAAAATTAATTAATTTATATAACCTTATAAGTTAATTTAATTAATAATTTTTATATCTAATCTTTAAAAAATTATATCTTACTAAGTTTTTAACCAAATTTAATAATTTTACTATTATTAAAATTAAAAAAACCTGTTTTACAAATTTTTTTTATAAATTAATATTAGTTTACTTAGTATAATTTTTTATAAAATTAAATATAAAAAAAATTTACAATTAAGTTTATATATAATTTTAATATAATACTCCTTACCTTTAACAAAACATTTATTTAAAAATTCAAAATCAATTAATATAATAATAAATTTTGTAAATTTTTATTAATCAATATTTTAAAATTTTTTTCAAATCAAATCAAATTTAAACCAAAGTATATTAAATTTAATCAAATCCAAATTAATCCAATATTTGATTTGATTTAAATTTGAAAAACTCTAAGTAACAATATCTTAAAAAAATATATAAACTGTTCTAAAATATAAATTAACATCTATAACATCTTAATTAACATATGTACTAAAAAGTATTATAATGATACAAAACAAAACTATGTTACAAAAAATTTAAATAATGTAAACAAACTACTTACATTAAATACCAAAAGTGTATGCATAACTAGTAAGAAGGTTTCACAGGATCCTATGTCCTAATATTAAATAAAAAACTTCTAATCCCAGAGAGGTTAAGTTTAAAAAAAGAATCAATTTGAAATAGCCTAAGATTCTGATGAGAAAGACTGTTAACAAAAAAATTTAAAAAGATTAGTCTTCTAATACGTCGTTAGATACTTGATAAAAATCAAGCACGCAGATTTCACCGTGGGCAGGTCACGTATCCAGAAACCCACATATGCTTACAATTGTTAATAAAAAGGCAAAAACAAAATTATAGTTTTTAATTAACAAATGTAACCGTACATTTACCTAACTTACCAACAATTTATTTCAGTAACTTCTTGAACACCTAAAACAATTTAGAGAAGTCCCTCGTGCGTACTTCCGGCATGCGCATACCTAACCGAGGTTTCCACGTGAAAACTCAATAAAGCATTAATAGTTTATCATTTAAATAAAGATAACATATGACGAAAAAAACCACTTGGCGGTTGATATTCCTAACAAATTCGGAAATCTGTTCAATACAAACCGCAACAAATTTAAAAGTGCTAGTAGTCATATGATATCGTATTTCTGTCCAATTAACTTTAGGACAAATGTAACGTGAGATTCAGAAGCCCAAAATTCGTGTAATGGTACATGCTTTTCTTTTGCTCAGCCTTACAATAAAAGAATGCTTTCTTGGGTTCACGAATATTTAATACGCACTTAAAAATTACTATTAACACGCAAGAATGAGAGTTAGAATGCCGATTCATAAGTAATGCATTTGCTAGTATTTTTTAAATTATCGAAAATTGAAGTATTTTCGTTCATATTGAGAACAATTCACATTTGTCAATTAAAAGCACTTTTTTCGGACCGGGTTATTGGAATGTACAACATTCATAAAATAGGCAGGGTATTCTTATCTGCTATGAAGTTGCCGTTAAAAAGCATGAAAAGAAAATTTTCAAAGTACCCGACGCTTAAGTATGCATAACAAGTGAGGAAATAAGTCTGTGCCAGGTTTGCCGATCATTGACCTAGATTGATCGATATCGGCCTGCATTAAGTCAATTTTGAGGTTAGAGTTAAGTTTGTCGATCATGATCACCAAACCTGGCACAGAATTTTGTCTGCAGAACTTGTATGCGGTTTATCATTTTCGAATTAAACATGTGAAAAGAGAATATAAGATTGGTCATTTTTAGAATAGTATATAGTAACCTTTGATTATTAACCATTAATTGTTAAAAAAAAAAAAGGATTTAATCCTCCAATTCTTCAGGGGGAATATCTCTATCATCAATAGAATAAATGTTTGCAGCCTAGAACAGTTAGATCGTAACATATTAACCAAAAATAAACCAGTTAGTAAATAATGTTTAACAATGAAAAGTTATTAAAGATAATCATATTACCGGTTGCCAAACTTGAATTATATTATCTTCAGCAGTACTAGAAATCACCCAAGGCATATGAGGATTCCAACTGAAATCGGATATTTTATTAGTATGCCCACCATGCATAAACTGTGATGGAAACAAAGGAATTTTAAATTTCAGGTTCAAATCATTAAATTTGTCGAATTAAAGAAACAGTAACGAACCAATAATTCCGGAGGTCCTTCGTCAGCATCTTCTGCCGTTTGCTCTGCACCAATTCTACTTAGATCCCATATATTTACCCTTCTATCCCCTCCAGCGGAGGCTAGAATAGTTTCGTCATGCGGTGACCATTCAACTTGTAAGACTTCTCCTTGATGATGCACTAGCGTATGTAGTTTAATTTTGAGGTTACGAAGATCCCACAGGTTAAGAGTCTAAAATAAATCATAAAAAATATCATGTCAAACAATCTTTATATGTTTCTCATGTCATTTTAAAATACAGATAGGTTTTCATGCCTTATCCCCTGCACCCGTTACTAAAATATTTTCATTCATTGGATTCCATGCCAAAGTGTTAACTTCACTTGGATGTGCAATAACCGAATGGGCGGGCTTATCAGCCTTATCTGAACGTGTATCCCAACTAATTATTAAGTATTAAAATGTAAATACATCACAATTGCTCAAGCAAACATAAAATAAATATAGTAATTTACATGAGCAATTTTTGATCATCACCGACTGAAGCAAATAGATGTTCGTCTAGTATATGCCATGCAACATCCTATCATATAATAAATATTAGTCACACCGCTAAATAAATACTTGAAATAAAATGTCATATTTATATAAGCAACCTCAACAAATGCTTCATGGCCTCGATAAATACGGAATGGTTCCATCGTTCGCGTTTCCTTAGTACACCCGGTAATGTCCCTATGAAATAGGGACATTAAATTAAGGTCATAAATTACAATATTTACTAGCGTTCACATACCAATGGCAAATCGTGGTATCCTCGGATGCGTCTAATATATGGCCTTCTTTTAACGGGTTCCACGATAATCCGTATCTGTTAATTATGAATGTTAGGTAACCGCTAAATTTATCATTAATTTTATTGAAAGGAACAAGAAAACTCGTTTACCCTTCTTTTACATGACCTCGCAATTTCAGTTCAGGTTGACAACCACCATCGGACAGAGGCTTTAATGGATGCTTTGTACGGTCGAATATATAAACATCTCCTGAAACTGTCTTCGTGGCGATTATGTCTTGCTTTTGAGGCATATACCGTGCTCTATTGACTTCACCTTCATGCTTGATTTTTTGAACGACCTTAATTCTACTTTCAGTGGTACCTCCATAACCTCCTATTTCTACTCAAGATATGAACAATAGGCGCTTATCAATTTCAACTAATCAGTACGAGAAATCTTATATGTTTCTTTGTACCTCCTTTCTCTTCATCAAATTTTCGAGGATCAACGTTGACATCGTTTTTTGGAAGTTGAATATGCGCGATTTCAACGTAATTTTGGTCGTTATCTGATGTGTGCGTACCAATTAATAAGCGCTGAATGGTGTAATCTTTTCCTTCGGGCCTAAAGAGTATTAAGAAACGTATTAAAATTAATCTTTCTTCACTTAATAGTCCTATTGAGTTGATCAACTAGTAGCAATATTTCCTAAATCTCCGAGAATACCGAGGAATTCTAAAAATAGTATACCTATCAATATCTTGAAACCACTGACACGTTAAGGTTGGCCATACAAGAGCGTGAGTAATGACCAAATCATAAAGAAATGGTGAATTCTTCTTCCAGATTTTATACTCTTCATTTATAATTTTCTCTTCAATAGCTGCACGTTCCTGCTTTGTCTCCTCTTTTAGAGGGAATATTTAAAATGTGTTTAGCCAATATTTAAAGTTTATTAAATAGTTTTTAGAAGGGAAGGAAGGAGTATAGTAGAGTACCTGTAGAGTCTTCGTTGTATGGAGATGAAGGTGAATCACTATACGAAGTGGCCATTGAGAAAAGAAGAAAAAAAACTATAATTAAAGACGCGAACGTCGAAGAATACATAAATCACATTTTGGGTATTTCATATTAGTCGCACAAGTGAACTGAACACGTGATATCCTTACCAGAATTCGAATAGAATTTAGTCAAAAAATTATGTAATTTTTACTATTTTACTTAAATGGACTTAAACAGTTTAGACGTCTTTTTTTTTTTTTTATTTCCCTGATGTAAAAATTTGTTTTTTTAAAGCAGAAACTCATTCATGGTCTATAGATTTAACACTATTAGTTGTAGGTTGGTATCTTTTCTTTAGTGTGCAAATAATGTTTTCGTTGGTACTTCCAGTATTCCGAAATTTGCCGTATAAACCAATTGGTGTATGAAGATATGCAAGATTGTCACACAAATGAATCATCCAACACGACAAAACTATTTCGCTAGAAACTTACATTTGTAGAGATTCATAGGTGTTTGTCCCACTCGTTGAGCAATTGACTCATATATTTAATACAAAAGGTAAATAAGGAAGTGAGAAGTTTTATTTTGAGCTTGAGATCATGGCTCTTTGTGGGTTCAAAAGGAGATATAAATGTGCTATCAAAGCTTATTGTGGTAAACTCTAAGGATGTTGTTGGCTTTTGGTTTCGCTATGTTGTCAAGAGGTATTTCCATAAATAGATATATAAAGCCTTTATTTTACAACTCCGATACACTATAAGAGTTTAGAGTAGGGGAATTATCAATATTAAGCGCTCTGGGTATCAATTATTTGAGTGTACTTGTTACAAATTTACTCTTCAAATTTGATCAGAAACAAATTAGGTGCTGTGAAATTTATTAATGTAAAAATCACCAATTGTACGTTCTTAATAAAATAGAGAATAACACTAATTTTATTTACGATTTCTATTATGATAATTATTTTTGCAATTCCATTATTTGATCTTTATAGAAATTAGATTTTTACTCACATACTGATGGCTTCTTTTTTTTTTTTTCTGAAAATTTTATTATAAAAGCCCCACACAATTTATATGTTGCTTAACTCCAGGCCACCAATTTCATCAATTTATTAGAGATAAGGTATGGTAACTGATTACTAATATTGATTAGTATTTATATAATTTATATAAATAGATTGAAATTTTATATCATTTCTCATGCAATATTACTAATGATATTCCCTTTCGTTTGATTTTTGTGAATTGATTTTCTTTTTATAATACATTTGCTTTTAAACGCATAGTTAAAATATAATAGAGATGAGCAACAAACATCCGTATAATACCCGGATGACGTCTCAATCCAGTTCTAAGATGATGAGTGTGCCTGTCTCAACACATGAAATGATATCAGTAGCGCGAAAAGAAGATATTCCCTCAAACAAACATACTTTTACTCAAATTCCTTCTCGTTCACAGGGAATGTCATCAGAGCCACTACGTATGAGCTCAAAAACTAAAAGTACTTCCCGTACGAAAGGAAAACAATCCACGAATCAGTCAGGTCCTGTACAACCCATTGATTTTTCAACTATAAGGACAACATATCCTCATCAAGATGAAGTTAAACCTAAGCGATTGTATAACCTTCCCGAGGGCAAGACATTTTATCCCACATGGACCGAATTTCAAGACCCATATGAATACATTGCTAGTATAACTGAAGAGGGGTCACGCTACGGTATTATAAAGATCATTCCTCCGGAAGGGTGGAAGCCAAATTTTTCGTTGGAGACCACTGTAAATTTTCATTACACTTAAAATATTTTGGATTTTATTTACCTTTATTAATTTATACTACATTGTAAAAATAGCGATTCAGGTTTAAAACAAGGAAACAAAAAGTGAACACGATGGAGGGTGAAACTAGAGCCAAATTAAATTACATCGAACAATTACAGTTGTTTCACGCACAGCAGGGACGCCCATTTTCAAGGTTACCCCAGTTAGATAAAGCACCTATAGATTTACACAAGCTTGCCAGAGCTGTAGCTGATCGTGGTGGTCCTCACGAGGTTCATTTTTTAATTTATCTAACTGTTAATCATGAATTTCAAGAAACTTTATTTCATACAGCAATAATTAATAATCTTCTATTAGGTATCTAAGAATAAACAATGGGCTGAAGTTGCCCGTGAGATCAAAGAAGGTGGATATTCGCAAACTTGTACTTCAGCATCTAAAACTATCAAAGAACGATATTTCGACTTCATTGATCCATACGAAAAATATATTGCCGAGGCGAAACGAGAATGCAAATTAAGCAAGCTTGACATTAAAGTTGATCTTACAAAACCTGATGACGTATGTGGAAAATGTGGAAAATTGACAGAGGGTAATGAAGATGTATTACACTGTGATGGAGATTGCGAAAAACCATATCACATAGATTGTCTTAATATTAAAAAAGAGCACCTTAACCCCGATGCACAATGGCATTGTCCAATGTGTCTTTTTTTAACTGGTACTGATTACGGCTTTGAACCTGGTAATGGGTTCACTCTGAGGGATTTGCAACAAACCGCTGATGCCTTTCGACAACGCTATCTTAAAAATCATCCCGTACCACCTGGAGTATCAATGGAGGATCATATTGAATCCGAATTCTGGCGGCTCGCACATTCGATGGATGATAATACAGAGGTCTTTTACGGTGCAGATATAAATTCAACAGACTATGGCAGGTAAGTAATAACATTCATTTGATATCTTTAGCACTTTTTTTATTAATTTCTCTTTTTTTTTTTATAGTGGTTTTCCTTGTAGTGAACGTGATCGAGGTGATCCATACAGTAAAGATCCTTGGAATCTCCGGAATCTTCCTAGATTAACTGGTTCACTACTTCATGACATTACACCAGCCATCCCTGGGATGATGCTGCCTTGGGTATATGTAGGAATGATTTTTTCCGCGTTTTGCTGGCATGTTGAAGATCATTATACCTATAGCATAAATTACATGCATTGGGGTGAGACAAAGACTTGGTATGGAATTTCTGCCTCACTTGCATCAAAGTTTGAAGCCGCCGCGAAAAAGCTATTGCCAGAACTATTTCAGCACCAACCAGACCTATTGACACAACTGACCACTATTCTAAATCCAGAAAAGCTGGTTCAGGAAGGTGTTGAAGTTTTTGCTATTGATCAACGTCCAAATCAGTTTGTAATAACATTTCCACAAGCGTATCACGCAGGCTTTAATCACGGGGCAAGTTTAAGTCTTTTTATAAATGAAAAAGTTGATTTTCCTAACACTATTAATTATAAATAATATTTATAATATATTTCCAGTTAAATTGTAATGAGGCTGTCAACTTTGCATTACCAGATTGGATTAAATTCGGATGTGAGTCAATAAAATTTTACAAAGAAATAAAACGGCATCAAGTATTTTCACATGAACGCCTATTATTAGCGATTGGACTTAAAAATTTAAATAACTATAAGGTTATCAAATGGTTAGTAAATTTCGTATTAGGATAAATCATTAAACCTTTATATTGACAATTCAAGCACCCTTACATGGTTTGGTTATTCAATTGTAAGAAAAATTGTCTTTTTCTATCAAAGGCTTAAAGATCCGTTAACTGAAATGTGCACAAAAGAATTGGAACTTCGAGTTGAAGTAATTCAAAAGTTGACCTTACCCGCGCCGGTACACGACATTACTGAGCCAAAAGACTCCGAAATGGTGTGTTCCTATTGCAATGGGTTTAGTTATTTTTCTGCATTGAAATTTAAATGCACAGATCAAATTCTATGCATTGAACATGCGGATTATGCGCCAGGAATGTGCAATTGTGGAGAAGAAAATGAAAAGAATTATTGTTTTTTCATTCAAGTACGTATAAGAGATTTTCATCTTAAAAGTCTAATAGATACTATGGAATATACGGCCTACCAAGCACAGCAGGATATTGAATATATTGGCACATATCTTGAAGAATCGGCAACATTATCAGTTAAAGCGTTGGAAGACATATACATAAGAGTTAAAGAATGTGGATATGATTTTGAATTAAGTGAATTGGGCCATTTTATTGAACAATCACAGATCTGGTTTAGACGGCTAATTGAGTTGTGTTTTGAAGTTGCTCAAAATATTTGGCCATCTTACCGTAACACGGTTATTAATAATTTTGATATTGGCGACTTTCTTGGAAAGTGGGAAAAAAGGGCCAGGAGTTGCCTCTCTACAACTGATCTGCCCCCTCTTAATCAGAAACATTATTGTTTTTGCCGACGACCAGACAATTTTAAGACTATGATAGAATGTGATAAATGTCATGAATGGTATCACTGCGAATGTATTGGTATGAGTGATGAAGAAGCAAATTCTCTTGATACGTGGACATGCTCTATGTGTCATTATGATAAAAACCATCTTTCAAAAAAGATACGAAAAAACATGAACAAATTGGAAAAACTTGTAAAGGCTGCTACAGTATTTCCGTTTTCACCAAGACATTCAGATCAATTCGTCAAGATAATTCAAATCGTCAAATCACTTTTAGGACCTGACCTGTTTCACATCCGACGCGCGATTGGTCTCGGCTTGGCCATTCCTATAGATGGAATAGAAACAAAGATGGGCATTGATTCAGATGTAATTATGACGGATAGTTAAAATAGAAATATGAAATTGGTAAGGAATGATGTTATCATTGGCAGTCTTATATGGGTATTTCTTAATAATTAGTAGTGTGTACAATATTTTTTCTTTTTTTGGATTCCATTATCATTTATGTAATAAAGAAAATATCACCGAACAAATTCACTTAGAAAGATTTTCGACGGGATTAATTTCTAAATCTTTGCATTCAAAAGGAGCAAAGAGAATTTGTAGTGTGTATAATAAAAATGTAGATTATACTACAACTGTTTTAATAAAAATATATATTTGGTTTTATTTTGCGGATATTTTTGTGCGTCAAAATTATTTTTTATAGTTTGCGTTAAAAGATTTTTCTAAGGCATTTTAGAAAAGTGCACCTTAGCAGTGCAATTGTTAAAAAATTTTATTTAAAAAAATCGAAAAAGCTAAATTATATCAAAAATTTTTAAAAGCTTAATTTTTAGCTTAATTATTTTTATATTAAGTAATAATTAACTTTTAAGTAAACTTTTAGTAAGTTTGAAATTTTGCTTATCTGCACGAAGAGCTAAACACGAAATTTCTGCAAAAGACAATTTCCACTTAGCCGAGTCAAGCATCAAAAGGACCTGTAAGTCTGGCCTATCCCCAAATTGGACAGAATGCATCGACTCTTTTTGTGTTTGTGATGAATCATTTACTTTTTCTATTAGACTGTTATAGAGAAATACCTTTTCTATAAAATTACTAAACTAATACTAGTTAAAAAATATCAAATTAGACCAAAGAGGTCACCTTAACATCAAATATATATATATATATATCAAATCTTGCTCAAAGTTAGTTGATAATTACTGGGAATTCCTAATTTCATTTATAGTAATTAAATATATACCAATACATATTTAATAGGGTACCAATTGCATTCTGAGTTGGTAAAAATTTTGCCAATTAATTAATTGTCAATTATAATTTAGTACAAGGGTTAGAACCTTATTTTTTTTTTTTATTATCTCTGGTATTAACATCTAGAGATGTGTGTGGCATTCTTTTATTAAAAGCAAATTATTAAGAACATTGTATATATATATATTTTTTTTTTTTTTTTTGAAAACAATTTTTCAGATTGTAGTACAAAGTATGTATGTCTTTACAAAGATGTTTGATTATTAGCAGGAATAGGATTCTGCTTAAGAGGTTGCTATCTTCCTATTTGAAAGAGATATAGGTGCATCATATTTTATACATTATATTTGTATATAGCCAAAGAGTGACTTGCTTGCTTTCATTATTTATGTTTGTTATTATAAAAAATTTTTTTATAGAAGTTGAAGAAGTTTTAGTTTGGTTAGTTTTTAGAAGGTCATAACCTGTTTCAAGATTTCTTTACTAACTTTGTATTTAAGTACAGAATGTTCAGTTGTTTGAAGTTTATTGTTATACCAGAAGCAACTTCCTGTAATAGAAAAGTTAATATGCTATACACAGGTCGAATAAAGCTATACCGGAGAAATATCGGAATGCCGATATTAATCGAAATTAGTATGAGGTAAATATGAAATTAAACCGATATTTAAGGCTGATACGTCACTGATATGAAACAGAAATTTGGCAGGAATCGGATACCTTTCGGTATTATTACAAAACATATCGGAAAAGTATCGGTAAAACATCCTAAAATTAAAAATAATATCGATT